AAGCCCAATAGCCTCAAATTTTTTCCACCTATCGTTCAAATGTTGTACTTCAAAATAATAGGTAAGCTTAGTATAAACAAAAGAGATTGGAAGAGTTTATTTGCTTTTATTATAACTCCATGGTGTTTCCCTCCTATGAATGAGAATATACGTAAACAACTAGTTTGGCCAGATCCTCCCCTAATAGGCGGCTTAGTTGACAACTTCTCAAAGCACATTTCAGGTTATAAATGGTACCACACAAACTACAAAGAGGGGTTCTGTTTCTTGTTGTTTTTAAACACTTTCAGGAGAACTTGAATGTTCAAAATACACATTTAAGGGCCTGAAGGAAAAACGAAAGACCTATTCATACAGTCTTGCTATTGCCCCCTCACAGGCCCAGAACAGAACTGTTCAAAACAAAAATGCTGTGGAATTCTGCACCCATGCCATCCTCAGCCATCATGGCAGGAGATCTGCAGTTAAACCTATTACTGTAGTACATGGATGAGAAACTGCCAATGAAATGAATGAAAAGTGGTCTTGGCAATCCAGTAGGTGGTGCTCTTCCCTCTGAATGAATGCCTCGGCATGGTGCTAATAGGGCATTTCAATGGGGCAAAGGTATGCCCTAATTAGGGTGACCAGACAGAAAATGTGAAAAATCGGGTCAGGGGATGGGCGGGGGGGGAGTGGGGGTAATAGGAGCCTATATAAGAAAAGGACCCAAAAATCGGGACTGTCCCTATAAAATCGGGACATCTGGTCACCCTTGCCCTAAGTCCAAGTCTGACCTGTTGCAGTGTCAGTGTGCATTATTGAAAGCAGTTACTCTATTTCGCTTTGGGGTGGCTACTTTTCAGCAGTGGATGAAGTGACCACTACGAAGCATGCATCAAGCTTGAAACATTTTGAAGTTAAAGACTCCATATAAGTGAAAATATTGTCATTTCATATTCAGAACTAGGACATATTTTAAGTGACTGGACTGAGGGAGGCTCAAGTTCTTTTTGGCTTCTGACCTGCGAGTTAGCTGTTGAACAAATTCTGATTTTTAAAAAAAATCATAAAGATGAAAGTGCAAAAGAACTTCAATAATACAATAATTCATCCTGTTCAGATGAAATGAACAAACTGTCAAATGAATCCTTCTCTCTATATCTGGTCCACTCTTCCAGTGGCTTATTATAGCTTCAATAGCTCCTTTCAACCAAGGTTGCATAAAACGTTTGGCCAAAACCCAGTCTAAGTGCCGCAGGATGGGTCACTTACTCTTATGAATGAGGAAACCTGATAAATGATGGCATCCACTCCGCTGATTAATCTTGGCCATTATGTTCCCTGCAGCTTGTCCCATCAGTTTTAAATCTCCACCACCTCCTTTGGGGAGATTGTTCTTCAGTCTGTTCAACCTACTTTTTTGTTTTGTTTTGTTTTAAAAACTTCACTCCACTACTCCTAGCGATGTCCCTTTGGCTACAGATATTTGAAAGATGGAAAAAGATTTCCAGGGCCAAGCGGCCTACATGGCAAGAAAAACAGCTGCGGAGATAACACGGGAGTTTGAGTAGCCAAGTCAGAGCTCTACCCCAGCACAGGAGCTGGACGGAAACAGACATCACTGGACTGCAGAGCCTACCATCAGGCTATAGGGTATTCTGGGGGAGGTCTCCTCCAGCTCTCCTGTGGTTCCAGTCCTTGTGCCAATGAATACTTAGTTATGTACACAAAGTAGAACAGCTTCAATGGGTGAGACTGAGAAAGGCATAGCCCAGGGTGAGGCAACCCATGGCAGGTGTGCCAAAGGTGGCACGCGAGCTGATTTTCAGTGGCACTCAAACTGCCCGGATCCTGGCCTGGTCTGGGGGGGGCTCTGCATTTTAAGTTAATTTTAAATGAAGCTTCTTAAACATTTTTAAAAACCTTATTTACTTTACATACAACAATAGTTTAGTGATATATTATAGACTTATAGAAAGAGACCTTCTAAAAACGTTAAAATGTATGACTGGCACGCGAAACCTTAAATCAGAGTGAATAAATGAAGACTCGGCACACCACTTCTGAAAGGTTGCCAACCCCTGCATAGCCTATAGCTTTGTGGCTAGGGCATTCACCTGGGAGAGAAGAAACGTGGACTCAAATCCCTGCTCCAGAATGGGGATCTGAACCTGGGTCCCCACATCCCAGGTGCAGGTCCTAACCACCGCAATAGAAGGTGGGCAGTGGCACTACCCCCTATTACCTCCTCCCCAGTTTTGTGACTCTAGCCTGCCTTTCTTCTTCTGACCAAACTGCATTTTTGACAGACTCCTGTCGAATTTGCCAATAGTTTCAGGTCAATTAAAACCGGCACATTCCAACAAATGAACTATTCATCTGAAGAGTTTCACCCAGCTCTTCTGTGGGGCACATGGCAGACCTGGCGAGCCAGCACCAGGAGCCACACAGCTCTAAGAGACCTCGGTCAGCATTCAGACAGCCAGGGACAGAATCCAGAGTCCTAATTCCCTGGCTCAAACCCACCAGAGCCAGAAACAGAACCTAGGAGTTCTCACTCCCCTGCTTGAATCCACTAGACCCCACTCCCACCCAATGGCGGGGAAAGAACCCAGGAGTCCTGGCTCCCAATCCCCTGCCCACCGCTCTAACCCACTAGACCCCACACACATACTCCCCTCCCTGAGCAGGGAGAGAACCCAGGGGAGTCCTGGCTCCCAGCCCCCGCTGCTCTCACCCAACAGACCCCCCCCCCAAAGCGGGGAGAGGACCCAGGAGTCCTGGCTCCCCCCCGCTCTCACCCAATAGACCCCCCGCCCCAAGCGGGGAAAGGACCCAAGAGTCCTGGCTCCCCCCCGCTCTCACCCAATAGATCCCCCACCCCCAGCGGGGAGAGGACCCAGGAGTCCTGGCCCCCCGCTCTCACCCAACAGACCCCCCCGCACCCACCTTGCGGCTCCTCCTCAGCGGCTACAGCTGGGCCCAGTACAGCCGGGCCGGCACGTCCGGCGGCACCTACCACCTCGGCACGGGGGCCGAGGGCCTGGCCCCGCCTCCGGGGCCTCCTGCGCCGCCGCCGTCCGGACCTCGGAGCGGCCGCGACCTCGGCGTCCCCCGGAGCTCCCCTGAGGAGCCCCCCAGCCGCCTCCCGGAGCGGTGAGCGGCGCTGACACCCCTCCCCCCGCGGCCCCACTTGGTACAGTCCGCGCGAGCGCCGGCGTGGGGCGGGGCGGGGGGTGTTAAAGTGACAGCGCCGCCCAGGGAGGCCCGGTTGGGGGGCAGGGGGAAGATGGGGGTTTGGGGTGTAGGGCCAGTTGGGGGGCAGGGGGAAGATGGGGGATTTGGGGGTGTAGGGCCAGTTG